CTTGCATACAATGATGACACAGAAGGCGCCGTAGACACTAAGAGAATCAAAAAGCAATCAGTGTTAAAAAGAGTTAACGAGCAAGCTTATGGGGCTATCTTCTTCTTAGTGATTAGATTTAAGAAGCTAGCTAAAAAGTGTCATAATTTAAGTTGTGTAGATACCGGATATGGCATATATTTCACTCGTAGGAAAAATATTCGTGAAGAGCTTACGTGTTGTTATTGGCCGACTCGTTGATGCTGTGATTGACGTGAGTCTGACGGATGCTGGGCCAACGGCAGACACTGAGAACCTTCCAATAACTGATTCCCTATGTGTTGTGACTACTAGAACGTATGTTCTTTGGGATTCGAGGGAAACTTGGATACGAAACTGGAGGGAGCCGGCGCCATCGTCGTTATCGGTAACCAAGTTTATCGTTGGATCGGATGGATCGAAAGAATTTTGGTAGAAAAAGGCCCTAGTGTCGATTGTACTGTTACTGGTGAAAGTGTAAATGCCAGCTGAAGATGTAGTGACCTGGATAGCCTGGTAGTAGTGGTAGCCATCGAAGAAACTTGCAGGTCGATAGAATATTGGACTAGTCGTCGTTAGCACACCCGTATACGATGATGACACAGATGGTGCCGAAGTTGCTAGAAGAATAAAAGGAAGTTACTGTTTAAGTGAGTTAAAGAAAAACCGAAGGTGGCTCTCTGTTTCCACGGTAGGTCAAAGAAGATTAGTCCAAAGAATGTGATAGTTCAGGTTGTGAAGATAGCAGCGAGAGTATATCTTTTACTAGCAGGGAAAGTATTGACGTGGTACTTACGTGGTATTATTGGGCGACTCGTTGATGGTGTGATGGACTGGAGATTAACGGAGGTTGGACCCACGGCTGAGACTGAGAATTGCCCCATAATATTTGGCAAATGCGTCGTCACCACAAGAATGTACGTGCGTCCGGCTTGGAGATTAACTTCGATACTAAACTGTAAGCCAATGCCGTCATCATCATCGTCCGTGATTAAGTTCGCCGATGGATTGGATGGATCGAAAGATGTGTCATAAAAATAGGCCCTAGTGTCGATTGTACTGTCACTGGTGAAAGTATAAACGCCAGCTGTTGATATGGTGATTTGTATAGCTTGAAAGTAGTATTGATTCTGTACATCACCTTCGGGTCGATAAAATATTGAACTACTAGCGGATAGTGCACCCGCATATGATGATGTCGCAATAGGTGCCGTAGATGCTAGAAGAATCAAAAGTAGTCGCCTATTAAAGTAGTCAGATAAAAAAGGATCATTGCTTTCCCGTTAATGGTAGATAACAGGAACGGCAAGGAAATCCATTCGAAAAGTTTGGCGAAAAACAGATTAAACTCTGATTATGTGACAAAGGAATCGATGTTTTATAGATTACAATGCGACGATCTCAAATCTTATCATACTCCGCACTCTGTGTATGAGACGAGGCATATATTTGAATGAAGATTTGGTTTTAATGGATTTGAATCTGTTTTTCTCAACTATGAGAGAATGCAACTGAATTAGAGTCATTGCGCACAGAGTAAGCTCAATCGAGACTGTAATTTCGCACAATTTAAGAAATATGAAATGGCAACTATTTTGTAAATTGTTAGGCAGTTCGGTATAAAATATTAATCCGTCAATTTTTATGAAACTTTCTCAAAAGATGCAAATGATATGAACTAAAAATGACGAACTTTCATTGCTGAGTACCACAAACACGACTTTGATGATCGAGCCGAAATTTTTTTCCCGACATATGTACCTATCAGTTCTATTCATGGACAACATTTTAGCTCGATTGATTGAACTCACGATATCAGATGGGTTTAACCTGTGCAGAAGAGTTCATGATTTATGCAACATAGAGGCTCTGTACGTGGTGATTCGTAACAGATAGTGGTCTGAAACTTTTGGCGTATGTAGAATTTCTGAAGTTCAACAAGCAGCAAAAATTGCAGTTTGATGAAGCACACTCTGTTCGATCCAGGGAACTCGCAACAAAAATTAAGTTGTTGGCGCTAATGTAGATACTTGGTCAAGACTATCTGCCGATCTGTAAGATGATTTAGTAATGGATATTTAGCACTGAAAGTCCTAACTGTCGTCTACGACTTCATAAAAAGACTAGCCTCGAATCTCTTGAAACGGTCTGCATAAATGGTCTTCATTTGAAATTCAGAGGACAGGGTTTCTGAAATCGCTGGTTATATATCTAGAATTCTAAATTGTGAAAGAGTGTCACCATAGTCTTATTGACTGTGTAACGTTGTCAAGAGAGCGTGAAGCTCATCGTCTAGGTTCGGATTCCTCAAAGCAATCTTATGAAAAATTGCATACCATCTGAAAAATGCCTATGGACATGTATGCATTCACTTTTAACAAAAATGCGATAGTCTAGGTCTTCCTTTTCACGAGATTTATCAATAAACGCAAAAGGCACATCATTGTAGTAATCGTCATAAATATGAATCGACAACCGCCTTTGGTGATTAGGCCAAATGGAATATATTCGAACGAAGCAGAGAGGTATCGAAATTTGTATTTTGAAAGTTAGTAGTGGTTACCAAAAATTGGTTTTTTTAGTTGCCCTGGAAAGTATAGAACATGAAGTTGCGATTATGTAAATACAATGAAACTTCAGAAGTTTTAAGGTGCTATTTTCGATGCACTGTGGTTCTATTCAAAAATCAGTAGTGAAACTTTTCTAGGCTCTGAAAATCAGGGAGATCGGAGAAAAGTCCATATCAGTGTGTTCATCTCTTCGATAAGCATTACTGTACCGATCTTCGTTTAGTTTTTCTTGAGAAATTTCGTAGAAAGAAGGATTTCGACTATCGCGTTTTTTGTTAAAAGTGAATCTGCATATGCTCGTAGGTGCTTTTTAAAGTATATTAACACTGTGAATGTGGATGAAAAAAGTACTCACATGTACACGCACACTCACATCCTAATGAATGAAAAATCGATTTTTCTGCCACTGAATCGATGATAATCTACTTTTTCATCAAAAATGTTTACACAGGAAGCACTATTGTGTTACGAATTTCTAGGATGCCAGCCACTGCGAATCTTTTATTCGCAGGAAAAGTATTGACGAGGAACTTACGTGTTGTTATTGGTCGACTCGTTGATGGCGTAATGGACTGGAGACCGACGGAAGCTGGACCACCAGCTAACACCGAAAAACTTCCCGTAGTGTATCGTCCATGTGTTGTGACGACTAGAATGTACGTTCGTCCGGATTGAAGGTTAACGTCTAAACGAAACTGGTAGTCGATGTCACCAGAATCATCATCATCGGTGATTAAATTGATCAATGGATCTGATGGATCGAAGGAAGTTTCGTAAAAATAGGCCCTAGTGTCGATGTCACTGTTGCTTGTGAACATGTAAATACCCGTTGTAGGTACAGTGATCTGTATGGCCTGAAAGTAATAATAAGCGTCGGAGGCACCGTAAGGCCGATAAAATATTGGGCTGTTGGCTGATAATGTACTTGAATATGATGATGACACAGTAGGCGCCGTAGATGCTAGAAGAATCGAAGGCAATCGCTGTTAAAGTTAGTGAGGCAACAAAAAGAAAGCAGACTTTGTCTTTTTGAGGGAAACAAAATAACAGAGACTGGAACTTAACGAAACCTAGCCAGATGATTCTTTTCAGAAAGTAGATCGTACAGAACTGATTATAATCATTTTCAGAATATATGATTTGACTTTCTATGCATGAACTTTGTTTTCCAACTTAGCACATCTTAATTTATAAGTTTCATTGTAGAGTAACTCATAATGCAGACTGAATAGAGAAGTCTATGTATTTGTCGAATTGTTTCTTCTCTCTACTATTTTCTGGATGTTTTCTTAGTGAAATAGTCATCATATATGTTTTTCTTTCAGTACTATTAATCTCGATACGAGAAGCATTGTGGCGAGCGAGAACACATTTGCACCTATCTCGTCATCGTGGTCAACGACATGAAGACTTTATTATGGATAAATTTAAGACATACAAGACAATGATTGAGGTATATATGCATTTAACATTTAAGATTTGAATAGTTGTTTCAAGATTGAATCATGTACTGGCATTAAAAGAAACTATCAACAGTATATTGTCATTTCTCAAATATTTCTATTTCCCGAATGCCGTCGAATTTAAAAAGAAACGAATTTCAAATATACACTCGTTATATGTTCACGATCTCAGCAAGCTTCTTTCCAAGTCGAAATGAAACCCAGATACTGAGAATGAATAGCTAGTTTGAATCGTGACAAATGCATCGAGCGGAAGAATAAGAAGAAAAAGAATTTGCCATCACTAATGAACGACTTCAAAGCAATAAGTCGACTACTGTACTTTGTGCAGCCGGGTGTCTTAAACAAAATAGTTGATGCATCACCGAAGAAAATTACAAATCTGTTTTGAAGAAATATAGACTATTTATCGAACGTTACTCTAACCGAAATTACTATTCTAGAAGGAATGAATTCTATACGATAGCATGTTGTTGTGTTGTTAGATAATAGAACAGCAATTGTCTCTGTTCAATCTCGAAAAATACATGAACACAAATGACACTCGTCACAGAAAGCAAATCGAACTTTGTTCAAGCTTTTTGTTCACACAAAATTCTGTTTCACATGGCTCATCGACTGAACAACGTGCTCAAAGGCATCTCTTATCAAGTAGTCACGGCGAAAAACATTTCATCTAGTGACTGTCTTACTGTATCGTTAAGCATTATCTGAACCGAACCTGCACAAACCAAGTTAAAGAAGATAGACACGACACCAACCACTCACCCATTCTATGATTTAATCGAAGGCGATTTAACAGAGAAGGATGAAAAAATAGTAATGACAATGAAAAGTCCAGTGCGGATCAAAATCAAGATGATGATATACGCAATTGAACAGTAACAACTATCACTTAATTGCCTGTCGTCGCCAAACAATTACTTGCAACATTTAAGCATGGCACATTTTAAGTTCGATACATAAAACAAGTTACAAATGTTGTCTGCTAGATAGAAAAAATATGATTTCTCTCTTTTCTATTTTAGTCCAATCTCAGTTGACAATCACAGATTGAGGGCAAATTATAAAACAAGGCATCGAATAGCAAAGATGAAGACATTAATGATGGAGCAACACCTTTCAACAAAGCCTTTACAATGTCAATGTACCAAGCTTCCATCATTCGATGACTCTCTTTCTGAGATCCCTTGTGAATGTCAAAAATGCCTATTCAAGTTTCATCGTTGTTCTTAAAAGCAAGAACCAAAGTCACCGAATTTATTGAATCAATACGACTATAGCAGATAAGCAGATCGTCTCTCTCACTCTTCGACGTTCCTTATTGATGAAAATATAAAAGAAAATAACGCTGTTTCTCTTATTTATATTGCCATGCGTCACGTACCTCAATGACAAGTTGGCAACTGACGAGAAACATGAAAAAAATGATAAGAATATTTTGTGATCATAAGCTGTGCAATTTTGATGAGATCTTTCTTGTTCTTCATAATTCTGGGTATTAAACTATTTTACAGACGAAGCGTACAGCTGCTCAATTCAATGTTTATCATAGATGATGACTACATCATAGTCACTTTTCTTCATTTCAATTATAAACAACTGTGTGGAGCATCGAATTCATAAATCGCTAAATCTCATTCGACATCCAGTCGTTGTGTTTCGCCTATGGAATCTTCAACGACAGACGAAACGCAAAACTACAAGTCTATTGACGATGAGCCACTGACAAACAAGCAAAAATTGTTGATGACCACACTCATCAACAATTGATGCCCAACGCACCAACTCACTACCTGATAAAATAGATCATTCTACTGAACTGCGTATCAATAATCTCAATCCATATCTTAACCCATTCGTTTTTCACACAAAGAACAGCATTCTAGTGTAGCCAATCAGATTTTAATGCAGCGTCGATCGAATTTCGAACAGGCAACAGTCAATAGTATTATATCTCTTTGTTCCATTGAAAATAGAGTTCGTCAATATTTATACAACAATATGTCTACATTTCTCGGCTTAGATTATGCTTCCTTGTTGAACATACCATTGCAAACTGTTGACTCTGACTTTTCATATGCCTACTAATGCCATTACTAATACCCAATAAAAAACTTCTGTGTTTAAAAAGCCAATGACGTAGCTACTGACTTAAAAGATGAAGAAGATGCCACTCACCGCAATAAAGAAGTCTTTATTGTGAGGACATTTTATAATTGGTCACAAGGTATCACTCGAAGCAAATCGATTCGAGACAAGAGTTAGTCAAATAAAATTGAGACAATTGACTCCTTTTACCGTTCGTTTCGACTCCTAGTAGGTAAGAAAAACCAGGGCAAGGAATACCATAGTTCAACTTTTGAAAGTAGAACAGGTAACATACATTTTACTCGCAGAAAAAGTATTGGTGAGTAACTTACGTGTTGTTATTGGCCGACTCGTTGATGGTGTGATCGACATAAGGCCAACGGAGGCTGGTCCAGTCACTGAGATTGAGAAATTTCCTCTAATATATTCCCCGTGTGTTGTAACCACGAGAATATATGTTCGTCCGGGTTGAAGATTAACGTCGATACTAAACTGGTAGCTGTTGTCACCAGAATCATCATCATCGGTAATTAAATTGACCCCCGGAATTGATGGATCGAAGGAGATATTGTAAAAATACCCCACAGCATCCATATTACTGTTGCTTGTAAAAGTGTACATGCCAGCTGTAGATATACTGACCTGTATTGCCTGAAAGTAGCTGTAGTCATCGAAGACACTGTTAGGTCGAATAAAAACTGGACTACTAGATGATAGTGTACCAGCATACAACGATGATACAGAAGGTGCCGTAGACGCTAGAAGAATCGAAGACAATCGCTTTGAAAGTTATTAACATAAAAAACTGAGAAAGATTATATTCTAAGTGAATAGAGAAAAGAAACTAGAGAAAGAAATACTGTGATTTGAGTTTTCAAAGTAGAATCGACAACATATATTTCACTCGCAGAGAA